GTCGCATGATCATTTGTCATTACAGGGACAGGGAGTGGATTGGGAGCCCCCCCCCCCCCCGGAATTTGCAGGACGATAATATATACACTGTACTGAAGCAAATGAAAATGACTCTGGATGCCCTCCATCCTAGAAAACAGACTCCATCATAACTTCTTTTTTTCCTTCTCTGGAAATTCTGGTCTGGAAATCTCTCTCAGAAAAAATTCTGGATCTTGTTACTGAATGTACCGTCGACGACAGGGGATAACTCTTCTGAATGTGAAATTCGTCTATTGTAGCATCCAATGACATTTGATCCTTTAAACTTTAACCTAACCATTTCCATTTCAGACAATTTTACCCAAATCTATATCAAAACTTGTACTTACCGACTGTGATAGGTTCTTCCAACTTTATGAAATATAATCCAATTAAAACACAATATGAAATAATTCCGTCAGATATACATGCAATGATGTGTACACCACACTGCACGTGCAGTGCAATCTAAAAACGATAATGGTAAAACTAGTACTAAGTTGAGTACGTGACGCAAGCCCACTGTGATGCAGGTGTTCAGATACATGTATATTACAAGAACATTTTTAAAATTATCATTTAAAAAGGTGTTTTATCTTAACTTTGCCATCTAGGCATATTTCCAAAAACAGGCAAATAGGGTGTGTTTGTGTGTGTGTTGATGGGAGAGGGGTGGGGGTTGACAAAATTGATTGGGTATATGGCAGGAGTTTCTGTCTAAAGTTTCCACATTTTGAAAAATTCACCAAAAGCGTTTTACACTAGTTTGAATAATATTATTTGTTGTTGGTCTTTATGAGAAAATAGATATAATTAAAAGTTCCAATTATTGGTCAAACAATTTATATCCCCCCTTAAACAAATCTAATTTACATCATTATTTAAATTATGTTGTTTAATTTCAGACTGGTAATTAATGAAGAATATGAAATACCTATAAGAGGCTTATGGGTCACATGGTCACATTATATGCTCGATTTGATGAATACATGTATTATGTAAATTATTGAATTATATAGACTTTTTTCCTTGGTAAAGCCCAATTTGAAGGAGTGTGCATTTAGAGGCAAGCACCTTAGTGCGGGTATTACTGTCTCATGACAGCATCTTGTTTAAAGTGTATTTTCAATGATTAATTAGGATATTCCTTTTAAGTACACAATTAGAACATATTGATTGAGATTAAGGTAAAAAAAGTAAACTTATAATGATGCTGATAATGCACAACAGTGAACCCGAGTATACCCTTGGGTATACCAGGGTATACCTTGGTATTTTTCAGGGTATACCTATTCATACCCTACAGTATACCCGGGTTAACCCGGGATAAACCCGGATTTAACCTAGGGTATACCAGGGTATAAAACAGGGTATACACGGGTATAACCCAGGATATACCCGGGTTTAATCAAAGATATACCCGGGTTTAGCCCAAGATATACCTGTGTTTAACCCAGGATAAACCCGGGTATAAACCATGGTAAACACGTGTATAACCCAGGTATAACCCAGGATATACCCAGGTTTAACCCAAGATATACCCGGGTTTAACCCAAGATATATCCAAGTTTAACCCAGGATATATACGGGTTTAACCCAGGGAAAACTTGGTCAAGCTACAAGGTGTACCTTATTGCGAAACCCTGGTATATCATGGTTTTACTTTTGACTCTACAGGATTTTACTCTGAGAAAAAAATTATATTTATTTTACTAAATGATTATGAGAGCATATATTTTTTTGCTTTCAAACATTTGGGTGCGTTCAAAAGTCTCCCATTGGTTGATATTGGTGGTGTAATTTACCAATGGCAAAACATTGGTACCAATGTTTACTATTGGTAACTTTTATTTGTAACCAATTCTGCAGGCCAACCACATCTCTGGCAGATTGGTAACCCAGCTTTTTTCGTTTATTAGTGTCATCCCCAAGATGGCTACCTGGACCGTTCCTGGTAGCATGAGTGAAGTTTCCTCACTACTAATAACACTTCAAATGAATTCTACTACAATATAAGGGAATAAAATGTTATCTCTACATAGTATTCCAAATTTCAAACAAATGATCACTTGTTTTGGAAAAAGAATATCACCTGAAGACAAGTTTTCATATAGGTCTGGTACAATCACTAGATTTAGCTACGTAGCTTGATGGGTTTACCTACATAGCTTTATTAACCTACCTGAGGAAGCTTTATTTAGCTACCAAATTGATCTATTTTTATTAAAAAGCATTTTTCTCAGGGCGTGCAGACAATATCATTTTGATGCAGTGATCTTTGAACCAAAAAATAAGAATTTCAACCCGGACTTTTTTGCGCAGTCTCGTTCAAATATTTGACAAAATCGTCACCTATGTAAACAAGTGTAACGTTTCTGAGATTTAACTTAAGAAGAAAAAGTCCCTCCATCTCGCCCGTAGTTGCACCTATCAATCGTGTTTATCACTAAATATTTCTGTCATCCGGGCAACCAATCAATTATCTTAACCAATTAAAAATGACGATCTTTTCCGAACTTGGGTCAAAAGACTGATTTAACCACGGAGGCTCATTAGTGTTAATTTTCAAAAAGTAAAATAAGAGGAAGGGTAAGAATTCGCTTGTATTTTGTTTATTTCGTATGCAATGGCTTTAATTTTTACAAAAATACGATACGCAGTGAATTCATGATAAAATAATCGCTCGGAAATTATAATCTTGGAATAAAAACAAGAAAAATTGCAAATGTCACTTTGTAAATCTTTTATTTAGAAATGTTTAATAAATATGGTAGATACTTCATAGATATGTATACTAATCCACAAAGGGTGGTATAGAAATCGTAACTTCATTCTTAAAGAAAGTAAAAAATAAATGTTACATTCAAATGTAGGAAAAATGAATATTATAGTGCTAATAAGTGCCCACCATACGAATAAGATACGAGGAGCTCGTGTTTAACGGGATTTTATACAGATTTATATAGAATCAGATCGACAAATCGTTTGAAAAGTTACTTCTCTAGACTAACACCTCTTATCTAAATATATTTTTTACCGAACTATACACAACAACTTATTTTTTTGTATTGCTTGAGCAAATAGTTCGGCCGTCACGAACAAATGTGGGTGTCGTTTTTACGAAGTTCCAAGGAAATTCCACATGGAAAATTGATTAAATTGTATTAAATGTGCGAGGAATATGTAAATTAAAATTCCCCAATGCCTAAGTAAATGCGCTTTTGCTTTATTTTAATAAAAATTGGATTTGAATAAAAAAGACCACCATTTGGTAGGTAAATTAAGACTCCGATATGGGCGATTGACCACCAAACGGGGGTTAAATGACTATTTGGGGGTGTGTGCTTATTTGAAAACAACTCATGAAAAAATCCTCTTGAAAAAATGTCTTTTTCTGCGCAATTGCAATCAAAGTTCTGAAAGTTTTTGGGTTATGTTTGACAGTTAGAACAGTTACTCCTTGAATGAAATGACAAAGGAGTCCATTTCCGTTTAACACGATAATAGGTCGGTAATTATTCAGCACAATTTGAAGTAGTCATACTCAGTCATGCCTCTCTGCACCTCACCGTATGGTCAGATAATCAAACAATGGAATAACATGTTTTGCTATGGAACGCTGCCTTATGTGGAGAACTTTCATTATATGCTGGTACTTTGTCATTATATGATGGTATTTTGTCATTATATGCTGGTACTTTGTCATTATATGATGGTATTTTGTCATAAAATGATGGTATTTTGTCATTATATGATGGTATTTTGTCATTATATGATAGTATTTTGTCATTATATGATAGTATTTTGTCATTATATGATGGTATTTTGTCTTTATATGATGGTATTTTGTCATTATATGACGGTATTTTGTCATTATATGCTGGTACTTTGTCATTATATGATGGTGTATTGTCATTATATAATGGTATTTTGTCATGATATGATGGTATTTTGTCATTATATGATGGTATTTTGTCATTATATGATGGTATTTTGTCTTTATATGATGGTATTTTGTCTTTATATGACACTGCATGAAAAGTCGCGTTTAATATAATTTAATAAATTCGTTTACTCCAGTAAATTTCTTGTATTAAATTTAATTTATGTATAACGGTACATTTTACATGAGATATATTGTGATAAAATTAAGAACAGTTTTCAAATAAGTATAATCGTATTTAATGCAAAATACGTCGAGAATAATAAAGTTTAATTGAGAAAATTATACGTTTCGTTTTAGAATATCGACATGTAAAAGTAAATATGCTTATACTTAAAGTTTAAGTACATTTTTGGTATTTTGAATATGTCATAAATAATTCTTTATACCTAATGTAAACTTATGTTGAAACATTTATGAAAAAAAAATATTTAGGCACCCTATTTATTTTAATTTATTCATTTCTCATATTTATTTATTTAACCCTTATGTAGATTTTTCAAAACTGTGGAATATAACTTAGTTTTTTTCGCTATCGACTACTACTGTAGTACAATTACATCGGGATCGAAGTCGGGCTCGAAAAGCAATTAATTTAAACACAACACACCGCGCCGAAATTCAATTTTTTGGAGGGTTCCACGCAGCCATGTTGAACTTGATCATGATGCTGTAGGGGAGGAAGGGGCGAAAGAGAGTGTCGCGAAAAGAAGCATGATTAAGTTTGCATGGAGTTTCTGTTTTAACAGAAGATGAAGACATTTACATGTACCGTCAAAGTACGACCCTGTTTAGCGGTAGGAACAATGTACAAAATTTTATCACGTGTCCTTGAATGAATAATTGCCTCTGCTACTGATAATGTTACTGTTCTTAGTCTGGGCTCTACACATAAAATGCCTGGCAGTAAAAACGTATGGTCAAGCGCTATTTAAATTTTGTAATAATTATTTAACACTTTTAATCATCTCTCTTAAAGATGGATTTTAACCAGAATTTTCTCGTTTGGGATTGGTTTCAGAATTTTAGTCACTAAAGTGTTCCTCTGTTCAGCATTTACAGGGTGTGTTGTACAATGTAATAAAATATTTATTTATTTCTTAATGCATACTCAAGAATATATTCAGCACTTATTTTGATTATTTAAATAGTTGCGGTGTGGACTGTGCCTAAGAATTCCCCACAGCGCCGGCTATGTAGACAGCGTGTGAAAATGGTGAGAACCATGCAGCTCAAATTTTCAATTAAAACAAATAAACTAACAATGTTTTTATCAACTTGTATCTTTTAGCATAGCGAAGAGTCAAGACTATAAAAAATATTGCAACAACTTGAAATGCTATATACCAAGTAAACAAGACGAGGTTTATGTTCTTATTTTCCTTATCCTAAAAATACAATAGCAATGGATTCTGAGCTATGCATAATTTTTTTACGTTAAATACTTAAGCACAAATTATTAAAAATAGCTATCATATTCTATGATGCACAATTATGCATGCATTATTTACAGGAATCCAAATGCTCACAAGAAATGACAAAAGCAGCATGAAGATTAACACAAAGGTGAGATTTCTTAAATTTTCTGATAAGATCAATAAAATCACATGAATTTTTCTTGGCTCACCTGAGCCATTTTAAGACCCGAGCGAGTTTTTTGATCTGCGTCTGGTATTCGTCTGTCTGCAAGATACATCTTTTCTTTCAGAAATTGTGCCAGAAAAGTTTGAAGTAGCTATGGGAATGATCAACATTGAACTTGCTGAGCCTTCCTTCTGAAAGTGACTTGACCAGATATTTGGTACCTAGTATGAGGTATGAACTAATTATTTGTTGTACGACTTATTGTGTATGAGATTGCCACCATTTAATGGAACTTTGCATTTGCTGTCCACTTGAAAAACCTGCTCTCTACAGTGTAAGTTGTTAATATATTTTACTTCATGTTAAAATAACTTGCTCATTATCCCAATAACTTGCATGTTTTAACATTTAAAAATGCTGTAGATTGCTAACCTTTGCATTTTTTTTTACTCTTAAATTCCATGCGTTCCGAGTATGTACATCCATTTTATATCATGTTTTGTCTTCTCTAAATTTAATCTAATACATATCATAATATGTACTAGATCACAAAGTTTAAGGATTTTATTATTGTATGAATGTTATCTACTTGCTCTAATCATAAATACATCTGTTTGTATGTTTTTTCTATGAGATGCCATACCTGCTTTTAATTTTTCATATTTTTTTTATCCATAGTATCTTTCTGCTACATTAAATAAAATATTGTGGAGGAAGACGAAGAAAAGGGCTGCGCATCTCGGCATATTCAATGTCAAGCAGGTAAATACATTGGTAAATTGCTAAAAAAAAAGATGACAAAAAGTCACCAGTCCCCAATTTACATGTACTTCCACAAAATCTGTAGCTTGCTGCTGTGAAACTATATATACGTGTGTCTTAATATGTTAAATGCTGTACATGCTATTCTTTGCATTTTCGTAAACTTTGTAAATCTTCAAATTCCATGTGCTCGGACTACGGTAACATTATGTATGTTTCATATTATATTTTGTCGTCTATAGATTTGATCTATACATATAATTATATGTTTTTTTAAATGCAATTCACTTAACTAGATGACACAGAGAATTTTTTTCATTGTGTAAAATGTTATCTTCTTGCTTTAGTCATGTTAGTCATAAGTATACCCTGTTTGTATATTTTTTCTCTTTTTTTGTATATTCTTTCTACGGAGAGCCATACCTGTTATTAATTTTTCACATTTTGTTTGTGACAGCTTTTTACCATATCCTTAGTATCTTGCTACTAAATGAAAGAATTATTGTGGAGGAGCAGAGAAAAGGGCACCTCAACATGTTCAAGGTCAAGCAGGTAAGCATAGTGGTAAAATGCTTCAAAAAAAAAAGATGGCGAAAAAATCATTAGTCCCCAATTTACATGTATAACAACATTAGCTTCAAAATCTGTAGCTTGCTGTCCTGAAATTATAGATAATTATAGATAATTATCTGTCTTTATTACCCAGACTTGAAAAAAATGATTAAGCAAAATTGAGCTGTGTTTCCTCTATGTCAATTGATAATTTAACAATCAACTCAGATTTTGTGTACTATTTAATATATGCAATTGCATAAATTTGGAAGCACACATACAATATGTATATATAGGCAAATGGGTATTTATTTTTATGTTTGTTGTAGAAATTAGGAGCTAGATGTGCTTCTCCAGAGCTGAAAACTTCTTGGCATGAAGAGAAGAAAAAGCAAAAAGAAGCAGTTTTAAATATTGGTTACGTCTTCATAGTACAAAAAATGATTCTAAAGATAATACTATCTATGAAATTAGAAAACTGAAGTTGCGTTCTGATGACTGTGAGAAATAAAGTCTTCAAAGAACAGGACACCAAAAGTGCCACTTTCAAATCAAAGCACTCTAAAAGGCAGAGCATAAGAAGAACTAGGACAAATAAAGAATCTAAAAGAGTCAAACCTTTGGATGTAGTAATTGAACAGAGATGGGCTATTAGAGATGAAATATCTAAGTTGTTACTGTTTTACACAAATGTGATGCATTTTTTACTTATCTTTAATTGACACATTCAATGTTAGATAAGAAAAATATACCTAGTGATGTATTTTTGACAGTGAAAGTTTTTTCTGATGCTTGATTACAGATTAAAACTGTTATGTTTTTATTGTTTAAACATTTATTGGTTTGTTATGTAATCTGCAATCACATACATTTTAATCTTGATTTATATATTACATATATGTACAAGTCTAACTTAAATAATAAGTGCATGGACATTATTGTGGGAAAAAATAAGACAATCAAGGGTAGTCTGAAAGAGCTGTGCTGGCAGTAAGTTGCAGATCTTGAAACCCAAGTAAGAGAAGGGTGGTGTCTCTGACCGATCCTTTTGCTGTTGCTTGTGGGCGAGTGAGGCTTCTCTGTCAGTGGTTTAGTGAGTCATAGATGTAAAAAGTAGACTAAGCAGATGAGGTAGAGACATTTCTGAGTAAAAAAGGGGTGAATTGCAAGAGTAAAATATTAATTTGTTTCCTTCCATTTGAAGTAAGAGAGTTTAAGAGTTATGGAATTGTAATTCAGGCTTAAAAAATTTGTTAAATATACTTGTACATATGTTTATACAGGACTTTTATATGTGCATGTTTCAGAGCTCATTCTTGATATTTTAAGGCAAAGTTAAAAATATCACTATTGAAATGTCTTGCATTCCAATGTAAAGTTGATTTAATGAGGATGTGTTAAATTACAATCATCAAGCAATAAACCTAGCAATTGGAGCAGAAATGAGCTACATGTATTGTAAGCAAATTTAAGCTGCTATTGTTTTGTGTAATTGTGATACTTTTTTCTTAATTTGAATTGGCATAACCAAATGATATAAAAGATTTTTTGGGGTGTTGTATTTTTCATAGTCAACATTAAGTATTTTACAAGTTGAACTTGAATGATTAGTGCATGGACATCTATTGTGGAAATACTTGGGAAACAATATAAGGGTGGTCTGAAAGAGCGTAAATTTACTGGCAGTAAGTTGCAGATCTTGATACCCAAGTAAGAGAAGGGTGGTGTCTCTGACCGATCCTTTTGCTGTTGCTTGTGGGCGAGTGAGGCTTCTCTGTCAGTGGCTTAGTGTGTCTTATTAAATGTACATGTAAAAAGAATGGACAACTTTTATTGGCAACTTTTATTCTTTTTATGCAAAGTATGATATAATTTATTGTGGGAAATTAAAAAGCCATTTACAACCCATACAGCAGTTTTAATAGGGGCAGTTTCAGTCAGATTTTGCAGTCTTTTGGACTCCAGAATGACCACATTTTTGACCTGTTGTGTTCTGATTTATTGCGGATTTGAATTTTACATTCAATTCTATTCTTATATTAAATTATTTTTAATAACTTCAGTATATTACTTACAACTAGTATGTAAAAATTTATTCCATTATAATTGAGGTACAATCATGATTGTAAACTTTTAAATTCTGACTTTTAGGCAAAAATTTGAAATATCTTGTACTTTGTTAGAACTCATTGTTTGTACGCTATTGAGATAACATCTAATAAAATTGAATGAGAAATGGATTTGTGTATGATTGTAAAATACTTGCCAAAACCCCACAATTGTAAACGGTACAAATTATTGATGGAATAAATATAAAATAAAAATATTATGCAATAATATAATAATATCAAATTTCATCAAATACAACCTTAAATCTTAATGATATGGGAAGGTTTAATCCGTACATTTTCATCACATATATAGCGGAGCGAATAGTGGGGAAAATATTTCACTTGCGGATACAAGCACCAAATTTTGCATGAAGGTTCTTTGACTATTACTGAAATAAGAAATGTCGTTGGCCATTCAAGTTTCGGCCATTTTCAAGATGGCCGCCACTTATTTCAAAATGGCGCCTTTTTTCATAATTTTTCCTAATATTTTTATCCTTCCTCGGTAATACTTTTATTTTTTTCTAAAATAATAAAAGGGAGCTTGGTATATGATATAATTTGAGCTCCATTTTATATATACATACACTGCGCATGCGCTTAAATGCAAAGAAAAGCTGTTTAAGGACATAACTGAATTAATCTTCTGAAACGTGTATAGCTGCATAAAGCAATGCAAGGTAATCCGGACCTGAAGCAGTTGAAGTTGTATTACACAACATTTTAGTAGTTCTTGACATGATGCAGCAATTGCTGGCAAGAATGTACTGAGTGGGGGCACAAAATCCGCGTTCTTTTTACTCAAACTTTACTGGAAGATGAGGGTAAAGTTAGCCACTTGCATGACTGACCCTATAAATTACGAACCTGGAATTCACTTCTCCTATTATCCTCTACTCGAGCAGCTCTTTAGGGAGGGGATCAAGGCGAGCGTCATTAACGCTATTCGCATTGCTGATTGTACATGATGACAACAAATTCTTCCAGTGCATTGATTAAAGGTTTGACAAATTGTCACAAGGGGTGCTTCAGAATTGGATTTGGATATTTTTTGGCGTTCTCAAACATATTCATGACCTGTCATGCTGTCTTTTACCTTTCCAGACAAAGGCCGACACTGTATCACAACCTGTGAATGCATGAAAGAATTGTAATGCATTTGATATGGTTCCAGTGATCTAACAACATCATAAATTGTTATTCATCTCAAATCCTTGCCCTTTCAAAATGTCATCCATTACTGATTACACAACAAATTCTGTATCCGAACTAACCATGTAGATTGATCTGCGCTGCTACCACCCGGTGCAGCATGTTTTGCGTGTAGGAACATACGGGTGTCGTGCAGCTTCTTCATTGTTACAAAGTGGTATAAAGATGGTATTTATAGCTTTGCTTATACTATACTGACATTTTTCCCTTTACTACAATGATAGTTGCCTCTGTGATCGAGATTATAATTGTGTCTGCTAACCCCCCCTCCCCAATTCAGTTTTGTTCTTGTCACACTGAAGGAAAGTGGTCCATGACCTTTGGTGGTCTAGTGTTCCCAGTTACTTTTCGTCTAGACCCACGCCACATTTCTTTTCAGTTTCTGCCTTAAAATTATCCTCTTTCTGAACACGGAAGATAGTGTCTACCCTCAATTTACCTTTTACAAGAGAATTAATGTGCAGAAGGATAATGACATTGGCATATTGGTTAAACTTTCATGTTGTTTTAAATTGACTAATGACGCACTGTCAATTACAAAAGCTGTTTCAATGATATAACTGACTTAATCTTCTGT